TCTTAAGAGTGCTCATCTGGGTAAATTTTGCACTGGTACCTCCACCATATCAACATAGGATTCTAGCTAATCTGTGTAGAAAGGTGAGTTATTGTCTCAGAAGTCAACATTTTCCATACATGAAAATGTATTTCCGATAAATTCCTCTTTACACATTCCCATCCATCCTCCCCACCTTTAGTACACATTTTTTTTTACTTGCCTTACTGAAGAATGAAAATTCATGAGTTCAAGTGCATAGGGGGAGTTAGTGTGCATAGAGATGTGTTACCATCCTATTGGTGAAGGGCTTTTGTTGCATGATGATGTGAAGTTAAGTGGGAGTTCCCTCCAGGCTAATGACATGCAATGGGAAGGTGAGTATTTATCAGAAATACATTTTCAGGTAAGGAAAATGTTAACTTTCAGCAAAATATTCATTTGCAGAGACTACAGTTTTGATAATAGCTGTTAATATCTCACACAGTATGAAAGAAGCTGTTAGTGAAGTAGAGAAAAACTGTTTTGGGGATCACTACAGATGCAAGAAATATTTCCTTTTTGTCATTCAGTATTTTGACCAAAATGAAGGTCTACAATCCAAACTGTTGAGAATTTTTTTCTACTGAGCAAAACTGCAGAGACAGGAGATACATTCTGCATTGAAATGATTGACAATTTTTCTCTTAATAAAATGCATTGTGTAGCATTTTGTGGAGATAATACAAGTACCAACTTTTGAGGACTGAAAAGGGTAAGGGAAGTTCAATGTTTTTGTTAAACTGAAAACATAAAAAAGATGTAAATCAAACTATGGAAGGTGTCAGCTGCCCTGTATACATTATGTACAGATGTATTCAGCCTGCTTCTGACAGATTATTCTGCCATATTGAGGCAATAATTGTGAAAATCTTCACTTCTCTACTTACACTATCACAACAGATAAACTGAAGGATTTCTGTGACTTTGTTGGTGTTCAATATCAAACTGTTTTGTCTCACACAAAATAATGTTGGCTTTCACTCTTTTCTGTTCTAGAAAGACTGGTGAAGCACTCTAAGGCCCCAAAAACACTCCTGTGGTTCTTCAATGACCCATTGGGTGAGACCTGCTTTTTGTTCATTCATAGCAACTCAGTGTCTTCCAAAATGGTATACAAAAGATCAAGGGAAGCTAAAAAGTGTGATTGAAATAAAGCCACATTGGAGAAGCTGTCCAAACAGTTAAGGAAAGATGCAACCAACATTTCCATTAACTTAAAATGTAAAATCTGTTCTGAGGAAGGACAAATTTTTGAGTCAGCTGTTTCAGTGCTCAAATAAATAGAGAATGAATTATATGGAATATGTTACAAATATCTTTACAAATGAATGCAGATATGTCTGTTTTCCTGGATGCTCCTCAGACCACCACACTTTATGGAAACAAGTTGAGGCTACTTGATTGACATGATGGAAAATGGAATTGTCAGATGGTGATGCAGCTCTATTCAACCAAAAAATGTTGTAAAATATCTACAAGAACAGAATAAGGAGAATAAAAAGATCAAGAAAGTTGGTGAAACAGGAAATTAGGACATCAAAAAGGATATAGGAAAAAAAGTTGGCCGAAAATGTAAAAATTAACCGTAAGGATTTCTTTAAATACACTAAGGGTAAACAAAATGTTAGGATGGGAGTAGGACCTTTGAAGGATGGTAAAGGAAGGCTCGTATGTGATGATTATTAGATGGTTGGGTTTGTAAATTCTGCTTTTTGTTCAGTTTTTACTAATGAAGAATTATGCAATATTCTTCATCCTGAACAGTTGATAGATGGAAACAAGATGATCACCTTAATTCTCAGCTTGTTAAGACAGAATTGGAATGTTTAATGACTGACAAAGCTCCTAGACCAGTTAATATTTCCTCAAGGGTGATGAAAGAGGTTAAGAATTGGATATGTGAGCCACTTGCTACTAGGTTTTTTTTTCATAAGTCCTAGAATAGTGGGCAGGTGCCAAAGGATTGGGAGTTAACTAATGTCACTCTTCTTTTCAAGGGAGGTGATTAAAAATTGTTCCAGTAATTATATTAGTCTTATATCAGTTATGGGGAACGTTTTGGAAAGTCTGATAAAAGATGCTTTGCAAAGTCATTCGAAAAAGTATAGAATTTTATTGGGTATTC